CACGGGTGACCTGGCTCCAAACATCCCCGGATGAAGATGCTATGGACTGTGATAGGATGCAGACTTGTTTGGAGCCAGCTTTGCATCCCTCTGTGTTGCAGTGTGTATTTGAGGTAGCAGCTCTCTGTCCTCGGGATCATTTTTTCAGTAGGGCAGTCACACATGTAGAGCTGGTGGCACACAGGTAGAGATGGTGTCACACATGTAGAGCTGGTGTCCCCTGCACGTGCAGGAGGAGGGATCTGGCTGCAGTTCTGTGCTCCCCACAGCCCCAGAGCTCCTCTGGGACTATCAGTGGCGTTTGAAGGCTGAACATACTGGCTGTTTGACAGCATTCCTCATGGGAACTTCATTTGAGGGGTAGTATCAATAATAATTTGGCACAACAGATGAGAAACTTGTTTTGCAACATGAACAGCTTTTTCTCTTTAGAGTATCTCTTGGTTTGTCCCTAGAACTTTCCCAGTTTCCCCCAACCTCCCTCCCTACCACAGCTAGTGCTGTCAGCATCCACTGGCTCCCAAACCAGAGGTATTTAACACTCATTATCTCCCACAGATCACATTAGCAGTGTGCAGCGGGTAACTCTCTTTTTGCCCTCTAAACCTGAGCCTACACCAGTGCAAGCTTGGTGGAATCTACAGCCAGGTATGAGCTGTCACAGGTATCTACTGTAGCTGGAACAGCTGGATTTTGGAGTCACATCCAAGCAGACCTACCCTCCCTACGGTCCTTCGGTGAAGCACATGCCAGTTGCTTTTTTTTCAGTGCCAATCCTTCACTGACAAAAGGACAGAGTTAGGATCCTGAAGCAATTTCCCAGGTATTGATTTCCTCTTAGCTTTACCTCCCCCCGTTTCCATGCCATGCTTTAAAAAATCACCCCTGTCTATTCCAGGTGCACAACATACAGCTTCAGATAAGCTGAGCAGTGTGTGAAAAGGTCCCGCTCACCTTGTGGGCTTGAAACTAATGACAGTCAGAAGTAACTCATCAAATGGCAAAAAAAAATCCCATATTCTCAGCACTCAAAAGCTGTTCTGCACTTTTCCAAAATGGCACAGGTGGTAGCTGTTTGTCCCTAGTTTCTCCAGCCTCCAGCACTCCTGAGAGAGCCACACACAGCTGTTTCCTTTCGTTTTCTTTCACTTGAGAGATGTGGTGTTGCCTAACTTATTGCAAATGCCATAATGGTAAGTTAAACAGAACTGCCTAAGACTGAAAGTTATGGTTTTTTGCCTGGGTTTGCCATCACAGAGGTAGGATGGGACTCATTTTAGTTCAAATATCTTATTCCAAGTGGCAAAACTAAGGCACATAACAAGTAAGTTGGTCATCAGTCATTTAATTACATTGCCCATTACTGCTGTGCTTAGTAACTTTCATTACTTTCATTCCCAAGTTCTTTGCAAAAAACACAGTCATTATGTGAAGGCAAGCAAACAAAAATGAGATAAGAAAGACAAGATTCAGCCTGTGTGGCCAGTTCCTTCTAAGGAAAACCCAAAACTTATACCCAGCAGGTGTGGTGAGACTTGCCATTAGAAAATCTTGGTTTCTCATCCTTGGAAGGATAAAGTGCTAAGATGTGGATCTTCAGATCCTCCAGGCTCCATCCTTTGAACATCAATAGATTTCCTGGGGAGAATTTTCCCTTTAGGAATTCAAATTGGTAGGAAGCCAAGTACAAACATTTATCAAAATAATCCCAAGGAAGGAGTCCATGTGGGTGAGAGCATAGTTTGCGCTCTGCGAATGAGACTGAAGCAAGAGATCAGATTAAAAACAGACAAAATAAATCAGAAATTCAAAATGTGCAAGAAGTGCTATTGGAAAGGACTGTCTCATGGTGTTAAAAGCCTGCTCGAAAAGCCTATTTAATCTTCAAACATTAACTATCCCTGAGACTGTACAATAGAGCAAATGGCAGCAGCCTGTGAGATGTGCATGTGTCAGGAGGCCCGATGGGCTCTGCAGGTGGGATCCATTTATAGAGCCTGTACCTGTCTGGCTCTGTTTATTCCCCAGCAGAGCTGCTGGAGCATTTCAGCATCGCCCAAGTGAACTGCCAAGAGTTTCAGCCAGGCATCAGCACGTTACACTCAGCTGTAGGCTTGAGAATTCCTAGTTCCTGAATTTCTGGCTCTCGAAATACCATCTCCTTCCTCTTCCAACCCCAGCAGACAGACAGAGCTGAGATGCCAGCATTGAATCTCAGTAATTAAGGAGCCTGTCTTTGGTTCCACCACTCCTATTTCAGTTTGGAAAGGAGCCTTCACTAGAAGGCTGCACAGCACGTTACAGAATCAATGAACAGGGAGAGGCAGCTTCAACCCCTCGAAAAGCTTCTGATAAAAACCAGAATTTAAGTGAGATGTTACTGGCACCAAGAAAGTAAAATGTGGTTTATGGAGAGGGAATGAGGAAGACTGTGTTTCCAATAAGGGCTGAAAAATAAAAGCCGTTGTAAGTAATTTTTTTCCTGGCTGAATACCAGTGTGCATCCTGAGGATGACAAGACCTTGGTGCACAAGGATCTGGCACATGTACAGTGAGTGGTAATAAAGAAGCCTCACTGCAAAGATATGCAGGAAATACTGCAATGCAAAACAAAGAAGAAACACAGAAAGGACTAAAAAAGCCAAGGATTATTTGGATTTGGAGAAAGACTTCTTGCCTGAGCTCTGTCTCTACTTAGAACCAAGCGCTGGCAAAATTGCCATGTCCACTTGAATCAAATTTATCTTTGAAACCCATTCACATCTCATGGACTTTGGAAAAATCTTCCCTTTTTTTTATCAATAGCTTCCTTTTATAGGAAGTCCTTTTGCACAGTCAGGTGCAAGGAGTGGGTCAGTGTGGTGCTGTTGGAAGGCACAGAGGCGCAGTGGGCTGATGGCACCACCTGCTTGTGGCTCCTGGGCTGGGGCACTCCTGACCTGGCCGTGGAGGCTTTGATGGCCTCGGGGCCAGGACAGAGGGGCACAGAATGGGTAGGAGCTACATAAAAGCTGCATGTTTCACCTGCCTATTTCTACCTGGAGTAAATAGTGCCATTTCTGCTGGGGAGAGGAGAAAAGGAATCAAAAGTACAGCGCTGGTTTCCATCCATCAGTGTATTTTCCCCTTTGCTTGCAAACTTTGTACTGCAAAGATCAGAGCCCGTGAGAAGGTGTGTGCTGACAGCAGCACCACCCCATTCAGTGTACTGGTAGTATTGGGAAGAATTTAATCTGTCTTTGATCCATGATGATAGGATCCCTCCTGACAATTTCAAGAATTACTTCTCCCTCTGCAGCATTTTTTTCATCCTAAATAGTGTTTGGAAGCTGAAAGGGCAGAATTTTGGCTGCTTTCCTGAGCTCTGGGGTCATCCCTTAGCCTCTACAGCCACTCACTAGAGGCAGGGAAAGAGCTATTCAAGAGTAATTTTTTTTTTTTTGTATTTTTATTCCAGAAGAGTTTCTGTGTCCCAGTATCTCTAGCCTCTGCCACTCACAGCCATGTGCATCTTCCAGTGGTCTGTAAAGTCTTCTACACTAAAACCCATGAAAGATTCCTGATCCAATTGCTGAAAACCTTTGAAATTGTTTTCATTAGTACTCATTTAATTCAAGTGCTTGGTAACAGCTTAGAAAATCCTTTTATTGCAAATGCCATACCTTATTCCCTCAGTAGATAAATAACTGATTAGGTTTTCACTAAAGTATTTAGGCTCTCTGGTAATCAAGCTCTGCAGCAAAACCAACCTGGCACATCTGATAGTTTAGGGTTAGAAAAAGGGCAAAACAAATCAGATTCTTTAAATACCACAAACGAGAAAACAGAACCCAAGCCATTTTTCCCTTTGTAGGTCATCTTATCAAGGCATCTCCAGTTCAGAGCTGGATACTGGATGGGGCATTAAAAATAAAATCCCTGGCAAGAGCAAAGCCAGAAGCACATCTTAATTGTTGCTGCCAGAGCACGTCAAGGGAGCAGATGAAAACCTTGTGGATAAAGAGAAACCTGCCAGGCCTGAAAGGCCACGTTATTGATGGCGGGATTAAAACACTCACACAGATTTAGGGGGTGAGTACATTAACCCTGAGGCGTAAAGGCGCCAGGGGAGATTTGGGTTGGACCTTAGGAAGAATCTCTTCACAGAAGGGTGATCACAAATTGGAATGGGCTGCCCAGGGAGGCGGTGGAGTCACCGGCCCTGGAGGTGTTTTAGGAAAGACTGGATGCGGCGCTCAGTGCCACGGTCTGGTTGACAAGGTGGTGCTGGGTCATGGGTTGGACTCAGCGATCCCAGTGGGCTTTTCCAGCCGGGCTGGCCCTGTGACCCGCCAGGAGCCGGGACGGGCTCGCGAGGCCGAGCGGGCTCAGGGCTCTTCGGACCCCGCGGGGGCCGGTCCCGCTCGGGCCGCCCCGGGGGCGGCTGCTAGGGCGGTCGCTAGGGTTGGTTGCTAGGGACGGTCGCTAGGGACGGGGCGGGAAGCACTTCCAGCGGGCGGGAGCAGTTCCGGGGCGGTGCGGGCCGGGCGAGCGGAGCGGGCGGTGAGCGGGGCCGGGAGGGGCGGCCGCGGGTCCCGGCGCTGCGGGGAGGGGGCGGCGGTGCCCCGGCATCGCCCCGGGCCCGGGCAGGCGGGGGGATACCCCGGGCGGCCCCGCGGGGAGCTGGTCCCTGGGCAGGGGGGAGGAGGAAAAGGAGGAGGAGGAGCAGCAGCGCGGGGTGTCCCCGCTCTGGGGCTGCACAGCTGCTTCTCCCGCAGCCCCCGGGCACGGCCGGACAGCCCCCGGCCCGTTATCCCACAGGCTGGGACATCCTGCTTATCCTGGGATCTCCTGGTTGTCCTGGGATATCCTCCTAGGCCGCGGTGTCAGCGGTGTGGAGCACACTCAGATCCCCGTAGGAATTGCTCGGGCTCCATCCCAACACCTGCTAAGCCGTTTAAAAATATCCAACCTGAGCGTTTTTTGTCTCACCCTCTGACAGAAGCTTTCGTGTTCTGCAGGGACGTTGCTCTTTATTTCCACCCCAAGAGAAAGCTAATATGTATTACTTGAGCTGTTCCTATGGCTTTGGCCATCGCTAATTATTTGTGTAGCAGCAGGTCTTGAAGGTGCCAGCTGGGAGTCACAGCAAGAAGAAAGGTTTGTGTCTGGCTGTACTCAGGTGGCTGCTGCACGGCCCTGATCCTGGAAACACACGGATGTTCATCACAGGGCCTGATCCTGGTCCACGGGGAACAGCCACATCCCCTTCAGTGCTGCCACTGGCAAAAGCAGGAGCTGCAGCCCCGAGGAGCCCCTGCCTGGGTCTGTGGCCCAGCTCTGGCTTTGCTACAGGACCAAGTCCTGCTGCGTGGGGGCAGCTGGCTTGCTGTAAAACCCTAGTGGAATAGGAGCAAGACTGGATATTTTCAAACATATAGTCAATATAAATTCCTGTAGTGCAATTGCAACTGTTTGTGACCAATTTCTGATGTTATGTTCCTGTGAGATGGGCAGGCTTGTGGGGAGAGGAGATATTTTCCCACTCCTCCAGCTTACTCAGTGGGTGTTAGACCAAATAAATAAGCTGGGGGGGTTGGGGAAAGCCTCCTCTCAGGGTTTAAAATGGGAGTATTGATCTTTAAATGCAATTTAAGAAGAATTAGTAAGTGCAGCCGTGGTGGTCTGAGGAAAAAGGCAGTTGATAACCTGTGGAGAAGAAGAGATGTTAGCCAAGGAAGAGGTAGTAAAACTGAGCTTCTCAGGAACAGGGAGGAAGACTCAGTCATCTAGGCACCTGTTGGCTTAGGTGCAAGGCAGAGTGTCAGGGGGTGATGCTCTGGGCAAGGGAACTCCCTGTGCAGGTTCTGTGTTGGGTGCAGAAGGCACGTGCCTGGTGCTGAGCCCCAGCACCCAGAGGTCAGCTCTGGCCTGCCCATTTGGGGGAGTTCAGCCTCCCTGCATGTGCAGCCTTGGGCACTGCATGAACCACAGGAGTTCTTTAAAACAGGAAGGAGTTTTGGTAATGTTAGTTCAGCTCCACTGATGGCAGGAGAACGAATGGTCCGAGTGTGGGGTGCCTGCACAGCTCTGCTGTGACTGGGTGGAAGGTGAGGTCAGGTCTTTGAGAGTATTTCATGGGGTACTGCTTAAAATGGGGGTGGCAGCTGCTACCAGCCTGCATGAGAGCCCTTGATGCTGGTCATGTCACCTGGGATTTGTCAGAGAATTACTAATTCCCTCAAGGGAGGTGAGGTAGGAAAGGGGAAAGGAGGAAGATGAGGATGGAGAATTTTTGTTTTCACTGTATTGATTTCCTTTTCTGGTTTATCTCTGTGTGTGGTGTTCCAGGTGTGTGAGTCAGGATTATCAGTAGGCGTTTGTCCTGAGAAAACTCCAGGTGAGGAATGAAGCAACATCCCTTCCTGCTGTGTTTGAGGACGGGGATGGGCAGGAGTTATGTTTACAAAAGATATCCCGATAAATGAGGATGAGGTAAAGGCAGCTCAGGGGTGAAGTTTCCAGTGATTCTGTTTCTTGCTTAGGAGCTGCTGCCTTGCAGACTGGGGGAGGGAGTGTCTTAAAAGGTAAAAGCAGCTGGGGATGAGCCACATGTACGGAAGTGTTTGTGCAGCCTTTGGGTCTGTGTTGGGACTGGCTGAGCCTGAGAGGGCAGCGTGTGTTCTGCCTTCATGTACAGGTCCCACACGGCCCTTGCTGACTGAGCTTTAGTCAGAATTTGAAACATTTTCTTTCACTGAAGTACAGACCTGGAAGGGATCGTGAGAGTTCACCTATTCTTATTTCCTGGTTGAAATGCAGGATTATACATACCCACACCCCATCCCAGGCCAGTGCTTATCTGAGCTGTTCTTCTGAATCACCAGGAGCAGGGATTCCACAGTCTTTCTATTCCAGTGGCTGCCAGTCTGTGCAGTTGGGAATGTTTTCCTGTCTTGATTCCGTACTTCAAATGAATTAAACCAAAACAATTATTTCTTGTAATTTATGTACCACTCCTTTTAGTGTGTCCTCAAGTGATATTTGCCTCTTATGCAATGGCACTGAGTTGTTAGATTGAGTCTCACATTTATCAACTGTAACTTTACTCTGATTATACTCTTAAATTGAGTCTCTTTCTCGACTGTGTCACATCTGCAGATCGTAGCAACTTCCTCCCAGCCTGAGTAATGCAGGGCCTGCTTAGGACATAATTTCTAGGAGGCAGATTCAACTGAAGCCTGTGTGCAGCATATCCCTCAGCCAAGCTTTAGTGATACAGAGAATTGTAGGGTATCAGTAAGCACTGCTGATTCAGCGAGTGCACACTGGGATCATACAGGTCAGGAGAACCGAGGAGGGCAGTAATCACAGCTGAGTGTGATGGCATCTCAGACTAATTGGATTTCCCTTTGGGGACTTCCTGTGGCATACTCCAGCAGTTCTGGCAGGAGAGCTCTCCCCTTTGTAGAAAGCCATTAGTCATTCATAGAATGAATAGACAACTCCATTAGCAAAAGATAAAGGGAGAAAGAAGGGATGGTCTTGAGGCTGGGAAACTTGGGACCCAGGAGATCAATATTTAACTCTGCCACAAACTACCTGTGTGACTGTTGCAAGGTATGTGGGGCTTTGTGTAACCAGCCACTAAAGCCACACTTAAATTTGTACACATAACTCATTCCTCTGTCTTCATCAGCTCTACTTCTGTGGTTTATTTAAGTAGTTGAGTTTGTACAGCATCTAAAACAAGGCTGTGATCACAGACAGTGTAAGTGAAAATTATTAATAATCACCTTGCATGCATGATTGACTTCAGGGAGAAGTATGTTTTTGCTTATTAAGCTTATTGTTTAATAAATGTTGTTAATATTTTGTTTGTCGGCCCCTCACCTGCAAATGGACTAATACCAGCATTTGAGGACTGTTTTAGTAGTCAGGTGATAAAAGACAAACATCCAAATGAAATGCAGCTTTCATTTTCCCCTTTGCTATTGCTTCTGTAGATCGAGAGTATCTTCAAAACACCTGCATGGGGGAGTCTGTCATTTTGGGGTAATGGAAAGTGAGTAGCAGAAAGCCTGATGCAAATAATTGCTCTGTTTTTTCCTCTTTGCAGTATCCAGTCTTCTTGAGAGCAGTAGAGGAGAAGGGTGCACTCACAATGGCTGCAGAGTTGGATTTCTCCCCTCCTGAAATCCCTGAGCCCACATTCATGGAGAACGTGCTTCGCTACGGACTCTTCTTTGGAGCCATTTTCCAGCTGATCTGTGTGCTGGCCATAATCCTGCCGGTGTCCAAGTCCCACAAGACAGTAAGCAGTGCTCTTTAATATTGATATAGATGGGCAGAGTCAGAGAAAACAGGATGGGAGGGAATGTCGAGTAGCTAATGGAGGCACAGCAGTCTGCCCCTGGGATTGGTGACAGTTTCATTGTTCACTCTCTTTCCTTCCCTCAAGCTTTCCCACCTCCAGCTTTTGTCTTTTGATTTACCACCAGATAGGAAAGCCAGGAACAGAGACCTGAGCCAGGGTCTCTCTGAATACCACTGGAAAAAACAACCTGAAGCACTGGCAAGGTGTTAAGTGTACGTGCTGTTCCTGGCTGCATGAGAAGGCTTTGTCCCAACCCCATATTGTCATCCTGCTATTGATTTGCCTCATTAATTGCCAGCCAATTTTCAGGAAGTGGCTCTGGGCACTAGTTTGTGCGTGATTTTTGGAAACAAGATGCAGGTGAAATTTGTAGTATATCCTGGTGTGAGGAGGGCAGTTTTCAGTCCTGACACCCTGTGCAGTGCTGGAGGGTCCTTTGATGCAGCTGGCACAGCAGGAGGTGGAAGGGAAAGGTTGAGGTGAGCTGCAGGACTCTGGTTCCTCTGGACTGAGGGTTGTCCTGCGTCCTGCTTTTCTGATGAAAGACCTCTGTGTGCTCGGCAATGCTGAGTGCTGGGCACAGGTGTTTTAGTGCTGGTCAGGCTGCAAGTTTGTTGCTTTGGTACAGATTTTGTCTAAAGGCATATGATGCATTTTCAGTAACAACTCAGCATGGGGAGTTGTGTTTTCAGCTTATCTTTATTGCCACATTTGCTCCCTCCTGTGCAGAGGAAGCGTGGAAATTTACAGCCTGTCTGGGCAAGGGAATGCCCGAGGGTGAGGTACAGTGTGAAGGATGTGGTTCATGACCCAACTTCTTCACCTTTGGCTGCAGGTGTGATGTGACACTGTCCTGGCATGGGTCATGCTCCCTCCTGCTCCTCCTGCTGCAGGAGCTGCAGCTCCTGGCAGGGAGATGAAGTGGTGGTTGCTACACACAATGCAGTGGCATTGCAAGTCTTAGAATCATTAAGGTTGGAAAAGACCTCCAAAATTATTGAGTCCAACCTTTGCACTGTTACCCTGCAGCCACCAGTGTCTGTCTGTCAGAGTCTCTGGTTTCCCCAATAAATGTTTGAGAAACACCAATTAACCCCATTTTTGAAAGCTGAAAAGAGCGAGAGCTTTGGTTTGGAATGGGAAACCCCCAGTGAAAACAGTAAAGCTCAAGAAAGCTTTTACTGCTCACTTTTGCAAGCATGCCTTGATGTTTGCATATTCTACTTTTCATTTTCTCCACGTGTGTACTGGGCTCCTGATCTGCTGCCCATATGACTGGTTCACAAGGCCATAAACACCACAGGCTACCCCTCCAGGTCCTGGGAATGATGCTTGAGTGTGGGTAGGATACTGAGGAGCTTCTCTGCCTTGGAGGCCTCAGACTTTGAAGTCTACCCTGGTTTGGACATTAGAAGGCAGCAGTGTTCAGTTTATGGCAGCAGCACACTGCATCCCTGAGTAATAACCGCGTGTTGCTCCATCTCTCCGAGCCTGCCAGCTCCCCGTGCGCCCATCACAGCCCTTGGAAAGCCAGCCAAGCCTCCTTCCTTGGAAAGCCACACAGATGTGAACTGTAATAGCCCAGGAACCTGAGAGACGTTTGAACCAAGCTCTTTGATTAAAAGGATACTGTCAGATGCTGCCTCCCCCTCCATTATCTGCAGCACTGGCTTGGAAGCTTGAAACCAGCACGTCTTGCTCAGCCATTTTTCATGTGTCCTTTTCCAGTTGGCACACTCAGGCTGAGAGAAACCAAGATGCTAAAGCAATATTTATACTCAAATGCATTTAATGAAAGGAGGCAATCTGCATGTGTGTGCTTTCTCAGAGGAGACTGGCGCTGTTCCCTCGTGTTTTCACAAGATAACTAGACTTTATTTCCCATGGCTGCAATATTATCTCTCATCTTCCCTGAAGGAAACAAGCAACATATCTAAGCATTTTGTTAGTCCAGGTGAAGAAAGATTTGCCTGCAATTCCCTCCCTGGATTTTGGGCTTGGTTTAAAGGCTCTGAACTTTGTATTCGTACTGCTGTTTCAGGGAATATTTTTTTGTCTTGCACATGATAGTGATTAATGTTTGGCAGAAATACCTGCTAAATGTTTCCATGCACCCTGATGATTATATATTATCTTTTCCTAATTCAAATAGTTTTCACTTAGTGTTGATTTTCTTCTTGCCTTCAAAGTTGGGTTTGTTTTTCTTCTCCAAAGCCTGTTTTAGACACTTAAGCTTTTAACGGCATCTCTGGTAACCAGCTTTTTCTGTGCATAAACTCACACTCATCAAAAAGCACATGCAGAACGAGCAGAGATGGTGCTGCTCGAGGCTCATTAAACGTGGCCTCAGTTTGATATCAATGTGTTCCAACAGAGATACCCAGCACTTGTTTCCTCTGACTGATACTCAAATCCCCAAAGCAAGCTGTCAGCAAAGGTAAAAAAAAAGTTACTGACTGTTTCTTAATTGATTCTTGTAGGACTCGGACAGTTTTGAGCCTAAGAATTCAGAGACAGTGAAGAAGCCAAAGGCAACTGCTCCACAGATAAGCAAGAAACCCAAGAAGGAAACCAAAAAGAAACGATAAAGGCATGACTGATGAGCCTCAAAAGACCAAATAATCACTTGTAATCATGCTTCCTCAGAGACAACATCAAAGGCAACTAACTAACTCTGTTAAATGGTTTTCTGGCATTGCCATGTTTTACCTTTCAGGGACAAGGGAGAAGGAACTTACAAGAATGGAAGGGGAGGGATTCTGCCATAGATTTCTTGCAAGCAAAGAGAACTTCACATATCCAGTACTTCATTTGACATGATTAATGTGTCAGTCACCATTAAAGTGACTTCTGTCAGTTCTCATGGGTAGAGAAACCCCTTGATGCTGGCTGGGATTTGTAACAAAGTCCCTGTGGAAGGTGTAGCATGGGTTTGCTGCTTTGGATACCAGTTTGTATTGTGTTTTTTGAAGCCAGAGGGATCAAATGGATCAAGGATACCACACTACACAGTTTTGTATTCATCTCTGTTGTCATCTAGTCTGAAATACATAGCTGCATTTTATGGCTTAATCATAATGTCTTTGTCATATTCTTTAATTCTTCAGGTAATAACTCACTGGATTCCAGACTACTGGAGATGAAAGGTTTCATTTCCCCAGCGTCGCTACCTCTGTCTTACTCCCCACCCATGCACTCTTCCTTTCTATTCCCACCTTTGAAAGCAGGTACATTGCAGGGAATTGAGGCTGTGGTGGGGATTGTGAGGACTACAAGGATCGGGGAACAATCTGATTCTGGAAGGTGCAGAATTTAATGCCTGTGCTAGTGGGGTTGTTCTTGGGAACTTGGGAAGACCAGGTACTGCATTTTGGAGAAGGGCTGCTGTGGTGGGAGTCTGGGAATGCTGCACTGGTGGTGCATCAGCCTGCACTGCCTCGCTGTGCTGTGGATAAGCCCTCCTGCCAGCTGGCTGAGCCCTGACCGTGGGCCCTGTTTCAACACAGCTGAGGTTCTTTGCATTTGCAAACTCCCTCCCAGCCTTCCCTGCTCCACTCTGCTCCATCTCCTCTGGCTGAATTCTTCCTGAGGGTAGATACGTTCTCACCCTGGGGAGGTGTGGTATTTTAAGATCCAAGGGGTGGCAGGCTGGCTGTGTAGCATGGCTGTATGGCAAGAGACACAGACACTCTGTTCCTTTGGGCTCTGCCTCTCCAGGCCCAGGGACAATCTGGTCTGAGATTTGAATACGGCGAGACAGGACTGGAAGGAGTGGAAGGAGATAGGGGGTGACGTAGCCACGGAGTCTCTGTGGGGCAGCTCGAGCTTCCTGATGCCAGCTCACATCTTGGTTTGTTTGATCAGGAATGAGTCAATGGGAGGAGAACCTGCTCTCTGAGGCGCACCCAGGGTTCAGAGCGGCTTTGAAGGAAGGGTTCTCTCTGGCAGGGCTGCAAGTCTGCAATCCTTTTTGCATACCCAGACTCCCGTCCTCGAGCCACAAATGCCCTGTGAGCCCAGATGTGTGTTCTTGAACAGGAGCTGAACAACCCACCTACAGAAATCATCAGTGTTGAGAACAGCCACATTCTCTGCTCCCTCTTGCTTTTGGTGGGGGAGACAGATAGATCCCAGTACCAGTGTGATTCTGACCTCTCACTGCTTCCCTGCTCCAGGCTCTTGACCAGAATGCTGACACCAAGTTGCACTGCTTAAAATCCAGCTCAGAGTTCTGCTTTAAATTCTGCATTTTTTTTCTTGAGCTACATGAAGGCAACACCGAGTGGACAGAACAAAGCATAGGAGACACAAGCACTCTAAAGTTGCTTTGAGTTCTCAGTACAAAGAATTGTTACAAAAATTTCCCACGCAAATAACAAAGAGCAATGTTTGCTGTGAGTTTCCATGACAGACCTGTGCTCTGTCTCTCATCTGCAGGAGGAAGAAAATCATTGCTACTGCCCTGGGTACGTACTGCAGATCCCTCCTTCCATTTTAATATATGAGGATGGTTTTATCTAAACTCCAGCTTTCTGCAGGTTACCTAAAGCAGAGGGTTAATGCTTTAATGGAGTCATTGAAAGAGCAGCACACACCTTATCCAAAATACTGAAGCACTTCCACAGCTCAGGACCAGTTAGCAGTGGGGACTGTGTGGCTGTTACCTGAAATAGCAGCTACTACATCAATGTCTACATGCAGCTATTTGCAGGCTGGCACACTCATTGCTCAGTAGAAATCATGGATGTTGGGGTTTGGTTTTGTTGGAGGGAAGAGGGATTAAGATAAAATCCCCAATCTGTTCCTAACAGCTTTATACCTATTTGAATGTGCTTGTTTACTGAACTTAGAGTATGTAGAGATTACCAATATCCCATGTATCTTAGTTTCTCTTGAAATGTGTAATAAATGTAATCAGAATCTCTGTTTAAAAAGAAATCTGTTTTTGAAGTTGTGCTTCCCTCACATTTCACTGTGAAAGCTTCCAGAAGTCCCAGACTATAGGAACACAGGGACATAAATAACCTATTCATTAAAATGATCCATTAAGGGAAATCCTTTCAGATCCTTTAATCTGTGAGAAATTGGTTAGTTAATACTGTCAGGCATGTGTGCATCTGTATCTGTGTTTGACTTGGAAGTAGCAAACTATCTCCCAGTACAGCTCCATCTTCTTGGCAGGGAGGAGGAAACGGTGCAGGGACTGCATCAGTTTGCCTCTCATGAGAGATTTTGGCTCCGGGAGCCCCCATGAAGGTAGCCATAATAAAGGCATCATTTGTTAATAGTGCAAGCAGGGGATTAGGTGGGGATTCAGTAGGCTGTTAATAGGGATTTTCGGGAGCCCATCGGTGTGTGGCTGGAGCTCAGGTTTCCATGGCTGGAGCGTGGAGCTGTCTGGTGGCTCTTGGCTGCAGCGAGACTGGTGTGTTGGCCAAGCTCTGGTGAACGTCTGTTGGTTCTCTCACCAGAAAACCAAAACAGAGAGAAGGACTAGTGTGGTGACTCCTTTAATTCCCAAGCACTTTTCTCCGGGCTGTTTTGTAATTAACATCCCAAAGGGAGCTGAAGACCTCATTAAGTCAATGTTATTGAAGGGGAGGTTTTCAAAGGTCTGTCTCCAGATACCTGCGAGCAGAGAGCCACACCTTGCTCTGCCACCCAGAGCCAGGAGCTGGCCTTCCCCTGCCAGTGTGTGTCACGGAGTTCCTGTCCCTCAGCAGGCCAAGCCTCAGCTCTGAAGGAACGTGGCTGGGAGTTGAGAGTTCCTTGCTTTGTTTTTGGTCACGGTGGGGCAGCTCAGCCTCTCTGGCCGTGCTCCCCTCGAGGGCCATCCCGTGCTCACAATGCATCCTTGTGCTCCTCCAGTGCCAGCAGCACAATCCCTTGAGACGGGCTAATAAGCAGCTCGTGACTGGAGTTCCAGTTCACATAGTTCAATTAAATCCCTGTTAATCTTGTTCAGACCTAATTTACTTTCATTCTCATACACATGCTTCTCTCTGCTCCAGAGAGATTCTGGTGAGGTTCCCTGCCCGCAAGACTGAGGACCCCGAGGCCATCAGCCCCATCAGGGGATTGATGTTTGCAGAGCAGCCCCCTTGTCGAGTCAATAGGCTCAGATTATTTCCCAGCCTGTCATGAAGAATGAAAATACTCCTTCAGTGCCTGGATTTAGGGAGAGTCGAGCGATCTGATGATGGTTGAGGAGATGATAAGAAAACCGTAGGAGGGGAGGACCTGCTCAATATCTCTGTTTCCCAGGGCACTGCTGCACCATTCCCCAGTGTGCGTGTGTTCATTTTTGGACAGCTGAGAGCTGGGGTGCTGGAATTCTCTTGGGAGCATCTCTTCCACACTGATACTTCTTTCAGGCAGAAGTTATGTTGTTCAGAGCCTGTGGCCTGCAGGGATTGAGATGACTGTATTGATTTAGTTGTTTGTTTATTAATCTCATGAGGCATGAGAGATTGACTGCAGTGAGAAAATGGGATGATGAATGGAGAGTGCTGGAGTACTGAGCACGGTTGCATGTTCGATGATTAACTTGATTGCTGGCTTTGACACTGGGAAGGGATCTGACCCTCCTCTTCCTCATGCAACCAGAAGGGATGATTTGTTTGGGGAGCATTCCCTTTCTCTCTGGCTGCAGACATGGGCTGTAATCAGTGTTTGCATTCCTTCTCCAGCTGGTGCTCGCTGCAGGTCCAAGGTCCAGCTCTTCTCTGGTAGTTTGTGGCTTTTGAGCAGTGGTTTGTTGGGGGTGTTTTCTGGCTTTTAGTGCCTGGGCCAGTGTGCAGTAGTTGCTCAAAATGTCTCTTGCTTGGGGCTGGCAACTGTGGGGCAATGAACTTGGCTTCCTGCTTCTCCCTTGAAATTCAGCTGATTTTCCCGTTTCGTGTTGATTCTTCCCAATTTGACTTTTCTGTCACCGTAAGTCACTCTCATGACCCCTCATGTTCTTCCACCCTGTAGACTCATGTCCACTGCAGTTATTCTGTCCTTGTAGCCAGATTTTACCTGCCAGTGACAGTGGGTATAACCTGCTATTACCTGGACTGATAGAAAGAAGGAACAAGTGGAGGAGCATCCAGGATGGAGAAAGGTGTCCCCTTGTAACCTTTCAGCCAGCAGATGTAACTGCTGGGGCAGGACAGTTCCCTGCCAGGAAGCTGTGCCATGCACATCTGCCTGCCCCTGAGCCACAAGGAGCCAAACCCATCAGGACCACGCTCCCGAGCTCGTGATGGGTGAGTGTTGTGGTGCTGTGTGTGCTCCACACCACCGCTCACATCCTGCTCCTCGCCAGCACGCACACATTTGTCTTGTGCAATCCCAAACCTCTGGCAATGCTCACTTCCCTCCTCCCAGCTTCCCTGGTTTCATTTAGTGCCCGGAAGCCCCAGTGTGGCTTTGATGCCCCTTGCACCCTGCTTGGAGGAGGCGTGAGCAGCCATGCCCTGGGACACCGCGGTCCTGCCGAGGATCACAGTGACGTGGAGCGGGTGGTTGGAGCAGAGGGGCTGACACGGGTTCCTCCAAGGCTTCAGTCCAGCCTTTCTGGCTGGTGGGTACAAGGTAAACCTGCTTTGGGCCACATTGCTCTGTTTTTTAAAAACATCTGTTGCCTGGCTGATGTCACTTGGTGCATGTGAAGAGCTCGGCTCCCAAATGGGCGATGCTGTGGGTGGAGGGGTTGAAGGGCTCTCACTTCTTCCTGTCTCCAGCTCCAGGCAAGGAGCTCTGTCCCTAGCACTGTGCTCTACTGGAAGTCCTACTTACACAGCATTCCTTTTTTGTGGAACCTGCACTCTGGACATATCTGCGTTCCTTGCCAGAGGCTGTCTCAGCCTCTGAGCTGCACCTCCGTAAGCATCAAGTTCTGCCAGTCCCAGTTCATGGACTGGGGCCATGGAAGGCATCAGCACTGACCTGAGACATCTCATATCTTGCCCGAGCTACAACCCAGGTGTCCCGGGCTCCAAGGCTTGTTCCTGCAGCCTTCCCTTTGGCTGCTGCTTCTGCAAAAGCCATCCCAAGCTTACAAATTCACCTTGTCAAGAGCCAAAGTCCGGAGTACGACAGGCACCAGCGAGCTCTCACAGGCAAAGCTGCTCCCACCACTCTGGGAACCATCTCCCGACACTTCCTGCTGTTTTTTGTGCCTCCACCCTGGCAGCACAGACAGAAACTGTGGTGTTGGCATGGGGCTTGTGGGTCACATCCCTCCGGCTCTCCAAGGGCAGCTCCTGCCTGTCGCCGTGTGCCGCAGTACCCACGCTGTAGCCGAAGGGCTGGACCGCAGCTTCGGGGGTTTGAGAGGGTCCTCATGGCTGTGGTACCCATGGAGAAGCTACTTGTGATGCTGCAGTGGCTCCTTTGGTGGCTGAAGCAGATGTCCCCCAGTGTCAGGCCTCTGTGGTGAAGGGAATCCCAGGAGGAGCAGTTTTTGAGAGAAGGGGAGAAGCTGCAAACATTTCCAATCCCTGTCTCCCCCCATTCAACTCGCTTTAAGCTGAGGACGGATCCCAGCGTCACGGGGTTTTCAGACTTTGGCCTCCTCAGCCCATCCCTTGCTCAAAGGACCAAGACTGGATGATTAAGGGGAAACACCCTCGTGTCTGCTCCAGCTCCGCTTGCTCAGGCTACGGGCGAGCCAGGGAGCAGCGGGTGCTGGCAGGGAGGGAACGTCACAGCCCCGGGGCAGGGTCGCCTGGACGTGGCTACCAGAGCTCTGCACTAGCCAGCCACCCCTCCACTGCTCTGCTACCAAATCAAGTTGGAACCAGGGCTATAAATCTCATCTGGATGAGTTTCCACGGGCTTTTCTGAACTGCTATTTTCATACTAAGGCTGTCCAAAAAGCAGAATTTCCATGCTGGGAGATGCTAACATCATGTGTGTGGCTTTTCTGCTGAGGCAAGAAACAGAAAGTGTCAGATTTTTGCCCAGATGAGCTATTCCAAGATACCTAATTCAGATTGTATAGACACATATTTTATCAGTCAGAAACCTGACAGGAATGTTCTGCCTTTATTGAACATGCAGATAATTTCAGCCCACAGCTGTTGAACTCTGTGCCTCCTTATTAAATATTTGCATGTCACCGAGTCAGTGGTTTCCCCACAGTCCTTTCCCCCGGGAAATTCTGCAGTGACACTTCCTGGCTGGGTTTAAGGGCCCCTTTTGCACCTTGTGCAGATTGTCACCACACCGAGGGACACTGAGGTCCTGAGTCCTCCTGCTTACTTCTCAGACACCCCTTTTTATCCTACAGCCGGTGATACACTGGCCATCACTGCTCAGCTCCTGTAGCTCTGATGCTCAGTGTGGGAGAGAATGGCCAGAATTAACATTCCTACCATGAAATATTGCCCAATGGCTCGTACTACAGGGGTTATTATGGTCAATCCCCCTTAGTGAATCAGCTCCTGAGCTTGTAACTGCAGCTTCCCTAATGGGGCTGGTGGTGCTGATCATCTCCCATCACACACTCACTATTTACAGGGCTGTAAAGCTCAACGATCGTAAAATCTCAGGGCAAGAGCCGTGGTTGCCTCTCTGTCTGTCCAGCATCTCAAACACAACCATTATATTACTAATAGTAATAATTCCTGCAGCTATATTTGGAATTTGCAGTGAACAAAGTGCAGCCTCAGGAACAGAATCCAACAGACAAAACTTATTCACGCGTGCCAAGGGGATGCTTAAAAATAAATCTGGCTGGAGATGAATAGATGTTTTGTTGTAAATCCACAGTTACTTTGGAGAGGTCGGGGCTCAGATCAAATACTGGACCAAACAAGCAGCCTCTTACCTTGCAGGAGGATTTCAGGAGCCCCATGGAGCAGTTAGATCTGCACACCTGGAGGGGGAAGGAGCCGTGTACATACTTACTCATGAGCGTGACAGAGTCTGCC